CCTGTGAGGAACGTTGTTGGTATTTTGATTGGGATTGCATTAAAATTCATTACTATGGCAGGTTACAAAATCAGCACATAGACATCAATAGCATTTCTTTTTTTTTTTCTTTTCAAAGTTTTATTGATAAACATTTAGCAATGAGACAGTTTCAAATCAAATCAAAAGTACAGTTTCAACAAATAATACATTGCATATATTCTTTTTAGTGGTTTATTGCTGTACAAGATGCAGACTTGTGATCCTATTTACAAACATCATTAGAAAAAATCATTCTATTCATTAAGAGAATGTCAATAGCATTTCTATACACCAATAATGAACTCACTGAGAAAGAAACTAGGAAAATAAAATAATTCATAATAGCATATAGGAAAAATTAGATATTTAAGATTTTTTCCTAACCAAAGAAGTAAAAATAAGCTCTACAGTGAAAACTGCAATACTTTGAAAAAGATGATTAATAGGACACTAGAAAATGGAAAGATATTCCCTATTCCTAGATAGCAGAACCAGTGTAGTCAAAATAGACGTACTTCCAAAACTTTAAATGATCTTACAGACTCTGCCAAGGAAAGCCAAGGAGAACCAAGGAAGGACAAGGTTGTTAGCTATCCATTCAGTCATTCACTCAGTAAGTATTTCTGCTGGTTTTTAAATCCCCTGCTCACTTCCATGGTAGCTATCAGCCCACTTCAACAAGAAGAGAAGCTGAACACGTAGGAGCAGCTGGGAAGCATCCTAGTCTGTTTGTATGGTCCATTCTATAGTAGAAAGCATTGTCTATCCAGACTAGTGACAGCTGTACTTTGTAATTTATCTTTATCCAAATAGCAGAGACTGTAAATAGCATACATGTATGGTAATTTCCTTTCTGTATGGAACCACAAATAAATGAGGGTTTTACAGATATTTTCTATGATTTGGTGCAACTACGATTAGTAACATAAATAAAAAATACCTACCATAGTGCTAAACACAAAACAGAGGCATAATAAGTAACTGTACTGTGTGAATCTGTTTATTGAACATAAAACAGTAAACTGAAATAGAAATGATCCATTCACTGCCATTAGCAATCTGTTTCTCTTCAGTGTCTCCTGCCATGACTGTTGCCCAGCCTTTGCCCAAAAGCTGCTGTCTGGCTGCCTAAAGATTTGCAGTCACACCAGGAATATACTGCCTTCAATACAGCCAAAGCTTTCACATATTATATAAACTGGCATCAAAAATACTGATTTTAAAAAGTGGTATATGGTTAGGGTTTCTGCCGTTTACTACACTAGGCATAATTATCAAGAAGTGACAGATACATCAGATTGGTTTCCTGTCATCTAGAGACACCCCCATGGGTGGGATGCCTAAGAACAGTGTAAAGTAAAGAAGCCTCCTACAGTGTAAATATGACACCAGTATTAGGTTTTTCTACTTGGTCATAAGACAGTTTTGGAATTTGTGTTTGAGGAGTGTCCAAACTCAATTTACTGTGATGGTACATGCCTGTAATTCTAGCACTTAGAGGCTGAGACGGGAGGATTGCCATGAGGTGAAGGCTAGCCTGGGATACATAGTGAGAACCTATCTCAAAAAAATTTTTTTAGAAAGTGTTCAGTACTCTACTGTAAAGGTTTATATTTAGAATGCCTATTTGTTATCAATTTGTATAATTGTGTGTGTTCCTACCAATGAAGTTTCTAACTCAAGCCTGGGTAGCCTTCATTTTTCCAGACCACTGTTAATCTCTAAATAGCTAACTCCCCAGCTAAGGCAAGGCATAGTTAACTACTTCCATGAATATGGTAGGTAGCAAAATGGTTACTGTCACAGGAGATAGTTTTTACCTGGAATGAATGAAAAGAATACGTGTATAGAGGTTGAGTTCCATGTTAGAAGAATTAATTTATTGCTGATAGGAAAAGATAGTGTCATATTATTATTAATAAGAGTTTCAAGGTTGTGAAGTTTAGGTCTGTGGTAGACTTCATGTGAAGCCCTGGATTCAATCCCCAATACCCCACCGTACACACACACGCGCGCACACGTGCGCATGTATAGTACTTGTTAAAAGAGAGTCATTCTTATGTTTTGGTCTAGTTCTTCATTTCTGTCATTAGTTGGCACTCAGCATTTCATAGCCAAGTAATTCTATTGTGATTTATTCATACACTGATATTGTAAAATGTATAGCATGTTTGTTGTTTTTTTTTAAACCAACTCATCCAGCACCTTCATAGTCTTTTATGGGGGAAGTGCGTTTGTTTCTACTATTTTCTAACAGTAAGAAGGTAAAATTGCTGAGCATCTTGACATAACATTCAGTTAGTTAAAAAATTTAAAACAGAACTGTGATGTCTCCCCTTTACAGCCTTTTGTTGTATGACTTGGGCAGAGGGCCACTCAAACTCGCGGTGATCCTCCTGTCTCAGCTTCCTGAATGGTGGAATTACAGATGTGTGCCACCATGCCCAGTTCCTCTCTGAGCTCTTGTGATATTCTTTTTATCTCTGCTAATGGCTTTATTTCTTATAATTTCGTCTTCATACTTTTCTGCTGGATGGTTAAGACCAAGGTAAAGCAGGACCTATGCAACAAGAGTTGTAGCTTTTTGGTCTGAGAAGGTCAGTGAAATGCCCTCAGGATTTGTCCTGAGATCCTGTACCTCAGATTGTAGAACCTTTATCAGTGCAGCCATGTGGATGAGTCACGGCCAGTGCTTGGCCAATGTGTCTGCTAATGTCTTAAATACTGTTTTTGAAACACCTGTGACTGTGTTTAGATGGAAGAAAAGGAGTGAGGAGTGATAAATAAAAACTATAATTCTTACAACATCATTGTGCTTCATCTAAGACATTGCTTATGTAAATGATTGAGAACAGTTATACCAGGTCTTGTTCTCTAAGACTCAAGCTCTTGGTATAGTACCTGGCACATTAGCACTTACTATTACACAGATGTATGTGAATGCCAATGGTCAGTAACTAGCACAGACAGAATTCAAATCCAGGTATCCAGGACTGTGTGACTCTAAAGCTCATAGTCTTTCCAACACACTTGTCACTGTCTGTCTTGGGAATGCATGGTTCTTCTAAGAGTATAAAGCTAGATAACCCCATCACATGACAGCCATGAGTTAGCCAAAGAAAGCAGAAACTAGATGTTTTCACCTCAGGAGAGGGTCTTGTCTAGGAACCAAAAACGGGGACTGAATCTTACTAGAAGTTGAAAGTCACCTAGTGAGCATTGTATAATCAGATGCCTGGACAAAGAAAGGGGCTGAAGTTTTGTGTACTTTGAAAATAAAACTGCAGGGGATCGGGGAGATGGCTCAGTGGAATAAGCACTTCCCTGACAAGTGCAAGGGCCTGAGTTCAATCCCCAGTTCTGAAAAAAAGAAAAGAAAAGAAAAGAAAACTACAGTATAGGTCATCCTTACAAAATGGTCCAGTGTCATTGATTTAAAACAAACAAACGCCTTGCCAGGCTTGGTCATGCATGTTTATGATTCCAGCATTCTGGGAGGCTGAGGCAGGAGGATCACAAGTTCAAGCCCAGCCTGGTCAACTTGACAAATTAGTGACATCCAGTCTCAATAATAAAAAATAGAGAAACAACTGAAGATATAGTTCAGTTAGAAATACCTGGGTTCAATCCCTAGTAACACACACACACACACACACACACACAGATAAAACACACATTCTAAGTAGATACAAGTGTTAACTCATATGATCACTTTGGAGAAGGATTTGGCAATAATTTATAAATTTAAGCTGTACAGATCATTTGAACCAGCATTTTCAGTTCTGCAAGTGTGATCTAAAGTATACAAAAACATGTACACAAAGGAATATATACTATTACATTTATAGTTTCATTGTCCATTATAATAAAAGGTTGATTACAATCTAAATATTCAGTGGGCACTAATATTATTGTATACTTACCCATAAAATGGATACTCTATGCAGTCCTAAAAACAATCAGGCTTTTCTGAATCTATTTATGTTAAGACTTTTCCAAAGATAAATATTTTAATTAGAAAACATTGCAATTCATATACAAAGAACTGTATATATCCATATTTGTGTGCTTAAATATTAGTAAAAGAATTCATAAGAAACCAGCAGCAGTAGTTGCCTGAAGGAGCTGAGCAGTGAGAAAGAGGAGAAACCCTTTTCGCTATCATTGAGTCCTTCATTAGAGCTTGTATTATTTGTTCATAATTAATAAATTAATGATGTTTAAACCCAAAAGAGGCTTGGAACTTGAATTTTTAATTAGCAACTTGGTTTTTTTGCAGAACCGGGGATTGAACTTGGGCCTTTGTGCTTGCCAGGAAAGCGCTTATTCCACTGAGTCATCTCCCTGGCCCCAACTTTTAGTTTTGCTTCTTTTTTTTTTTTTTTTTTTTTGCGGAACCAGGGATTGAACTGAGGCCCTTACAGTTGCCAGGGAAGCACTTATTCCACTGAGCCATCTCCCCGGCCCCTAATTAGCAACTTTTAACTTTGCTATAACTTCAAATTTACAGAAATGTTTCAAGAGTATTACAGGAAACCCTCTGATTCTTAATTAGTTGTTTGCATTTTATTGTGTTGGTTTCTCAACTCTCTTTTTATATATTTTTATATATGCATATAGTTATATTTTAGCCATGTCTGAATGTATTGGAGACATTATGACCCTCTACCCTTAAATAAGGCAGGGAATATTTCTTAAGAACAAAGCACATTCTCTTAACTACAGTATGATTATCAAAATCAGAAAATGGAATTTTTGACACAATTCTAGTATTCATTGGTGATGTTTAGATTTCATCAGTTCCAATAATTTCCTTAATAAAAAGTGTTCCTCTAGGTTAGAATTCAAACTAGGAGTGTGCTGGGCATTTAATTGTCTTGTCTCCTTAATTTCTTATAATCTGGAATGCCATGCAGCTTTTCTAGTTATTTTATAAAATGCCTTTCGGTATAGACTGTCTTATGCTTATTCCTGATTAGATTTGGTTTACACAGCGTGGTGAGATGCCGCAGAAGTGATTGTTATGTCTTTCTCCTTGTTTTATCAGGAGGCACTATTGTATTCTTGGTTCTGTCTTGTGTATCCGAAAGTGAGATTCTCTTCCAGGGCACAGCTAGAAGCCTTCAGACCATTTGTGCCAGCTCTTGACCTGGGAACTAGAGTCTCTGAGCCATTTGTCCTACAACAGTAGGAGCCACCAGACAACTTTATTATATTTGATTTCCAAAAATATTCAGAAATATCATATAAACTGTCTCCTAACTCCTTGCTTCTTGTGAAATTGATTAGAAATATGCAGAAGAGGTACTTTGCGTATATTTGTTTCCAGATTGGATCATACACTCTCAACCTCTCTTCATTATTAGGAAAAATCTTGAATTGGATTAGAGAACCAATTACAGAAACTTCAGAATAAACAATTCGGAAAACTCATTCTCAAAATTACCTCAGAATTTTTAAAAAAGGTTTTTTTTCTTAAGTTTCTTTCAGAACTACTCCTGATATCAAAATCTGTATCAATCAATGTTTTACACACACACACAAAAACAAAACAAAACAAAACAAAAAAACAAAAAAAAAAAAAAAAAACAGGAGATGGAGACACATATACCCACACCAGTGCCTTGTATTCATCTGAGAGATTTACTGTAGGGCATTGTCTTGTGTGGTTGTAAAGGCGGAGAAGTACAAGATCTAGACTCAGCAAGAGGAGACCCAAGAGAGGGTAGTTCCAGTCTGAGTTTGAAGGCCTAAAACCCAGAGAGCTGATGGTTTCAGTTCTGTTTGTGTCTGAAGGCAGGAAAAAAAACTGACGTCCCAGCCTACAGACAGATGAGCAGAGAGAAAGGATTATTTTTTCCTTAGTTTTTTTTTTTTATTTTACACAGACCTTGAACCCACAGAGTAATATCTGCCACTGGGGAGGGTAGTGTTTTTTTCAGACCCTAAATGTAAATACTAATTCTCTGGGAAGAAAGAAACCCAATCCCCGGTTCTGCCAGAAGGAAGGAAGGAAGGAAGGAAGGAAGGAAGGAAGGAAGGAAGGAAGGAAGGAAGGAAGGAAGGAAGGAAGGAGAAAAATGTTTTAGCAAACATTCAGGCACCCAGCGGCCCAGTCAGTCAAATAATTTGTAAGGAAATACTTGGTGGGTATGTAAATAGCCTATTCTTTCTGCTACTTTCAGCTACTAGTTTTAGCACCAAGTGATAACGACTTGACTCTTGTCATTCCTTCTGTATTTAACCCTTGGCATTCTACACTAAGAAGAATCGTTCTCTCTTTAATATCTCTTTACTTATATCACTCTGGTTTCTTATTGTATTCAGTGGATTAAAATCTGTCACTGATACCATTTACCTTAATACTCAGGTGGTGCCAGATGGGCCCCAGTGGAAGCACTTCCCTACTTTCTGGTTCAACAAGATATTCTAGATTCATCTTCTAGTTTCCCTGTCCAGTGGCAGAATCAGTTTATTTCTGTGGAGCTTGAATCCTTTTAGATAAAAAGAATGGTGTTCACAAGCCAAATGGTTGTTACTCCTTCTCAGTGCTCTGAGGGAGCAGCATGTCCCCACACAGCTCTTTTCTTCACTGCTCCCCACATAGCATGAGTTGGTACCTCATTTCCATTTCCAGTTCAGTCCCACATATAACATCCTCCAACAGTGAAAACCCTGTGTCAGAGATTGATGTAGGTGCCATTTTATTTTATTTTTCTGAAATAAAACCTACCATATCTAGACAATATGAAATTGTCCCCATACAAAGAGTAGAATATTTTCTGATGAGATGTGGGAATTGGTCCACCTTTTAAAAACTAGGTGGACTCTTGCTGTGTTTTCTTTTTCCCTTTTACTTTTGAGGGCTATGAGAAGGGGAGGAGGAAAGAAAGGGACTACAGTATATACAGAAGAAAATGATGATAGACGATTTGAGGGTTTTCACACTAAGAGAATTCTGTTTTAGTTCTCAAGGAACTCATTCATTTGTTGCTGTATTCCTTTTATTCATCAAATATTTAGCCATCCCATATTAATGTAGACCCTATACTGTGTGCTGAAGATAAAATAGCAAACAAGAAGGATATAACGTCTATTCCCCTGGAGACAGACAATAAGTAAACAAAAACCAGCTATTTTTGCCAGGCCTGGTGGTGCATGCCTGTAATCCCGGAACTCTGGGAGCCTAAGGCAATAGGTTCAAGCCCAACCTGCACAACCTAGTGACTTGGCAAAACCTTGTCTCAGAATTTTAAAGATGGAAAAGAGTTCTGGGAGTGCAGCCCAGTGTGAAGACTGAGGGTCAAAGAGGTGTGGGTTTTGGATAGGGAAAGAACTTGTGTTCTGGGCAGAGCACGTAGTAATGGGACTCATGGCAGGTGGTGAACTGCTGTTTGAGAATCAGATTGGCTTGGGAATGAGGAATCAGATTGGCTTGGGAATGAGTAGAAAGACTGCTACCAGGAACTTGCACAAAGATTTTTATTTTACTTTTTAAAGAGAAAAACTAAAACAGAATTTCAAAGCAAGATAATAGGACAATGGTTAATACATTGTGTATTAATATAAAATTTATATGTTAAAACCACACTTGCTGCTGTATGGAGAATGGTTTGGAGAAGGGAAAATGTTCAAAGTGGTATGGGTAGGCCAGTTAAGTGGTATTTGTGATTCTGTATTAACACTATTCCTGTCAAATCTCTTGATCTGTCAGTAAAAAGTAACGTTTTTATCATTGATTTGATTTGCATTTCTTTAGTTGTAAATTGAGACACATTTTCCTGGAATTTATTCAGGTATAATTTGTTTTGCTGCCCCACAGTTCCAGAGGCTTGACGTCCAAAATCAAGGTGTCATCGAGCCGCACTCCCTGTGAAACCTGCAGGGAGGAATCCCCCTCAGCTGCTGTGGGGGCTGTCGATCCTTGTTCCTTGGGCTGTAGCTGCCTTTCTCGGGTTTCTGTCTGTGTCATCACACAGTGTTCTGCCTCCACATGGTATTTCCTCTT